AATACTTATTTGAGAACAAAATAGGAAAAAGAGCCCCACTGGAAAATTTTGAAACATAGAAGCGTTTAAAGCGCGTACGAGTGAAAACTTTTTTAAAAAATCAAAGATCGCACGCACTTAAACGCGTCGATGGTTCAAAATTTTTCAGCTTTGTTTCAAATTTCAAAATTTTTCAGAGCTTTGTATGTTTATTCGTGATCATATACACGGGTTCATTCCCGAAGTACAATTATTAAACTATTAGTAGGGAGATAAAAAATTGTACACCTGATGAGCCGAAGCTAAAGGAGGTAACGTTTCTGCATTAATTATATATATGGTAATTTGTGCAACTGGCTCTTTCAAAAGTTATGAGTCGGTTTTTTTGTTTTCATGCTCCAGATGCCATAGTTACACTAAAAATATCGTAACTCCGCGAATGTAACGAATTAAGGGATTACATTTTTTTCTAACTAATATCACAAACAATTTTATTTTTCTAACTTTCTTGAGCGAAAAGTTATGGATTTTTCCTTTATTAAGGAAAACCAAGTTCTCCAAAATGAATTATTCTTTCACACAACGATATTTTTTCTCACGAAGAAAGGAAAAATTTCATAACTTTTCGGTCAGGAAAGTTAGAAAGCTAAAACCTCGAGCACCCAGAGCTTAGAAACGAAAAAAGATTCATAACTTTCGAAAGAAGAGTCATGGGCACAAATCCTTTTAGGTTTTTTAGTAGGACAGTATCCTCTATCAATTGCCATATATATCATTAAACACGGAGAGTGACATGTGAAAACATATCCTTGTAAGTAGAAAATGAATATAGATGATTTGTTACCTCTCCTAACAAATTACTTAAAACTATCCCAAATTTAATTTGGTATTAACTACCATATTAACTACTGTATATAATAATAATAATAATAAACATATAGAGATGTAGAGAACGTAGTTTGTATTTAGAAAATATTTTTTGTGCTTTTAAAGTTATGATAGATCGATACTGACCAGTACATAACTAGCTTAGAACGAATTGGAATCTAAACTTGACATTTAATTTTCAATTTTAGATTTATGTAGGTGATAGGTGATGCACAATTTAGATTTATTGTAAGAATGAGTGAAACAAGAGAAACGAAGAATTAATTTGTTGTCCTTTAGATGAATTTTTTGCATCAGGCACACCTGTTACTATTCTTTTTTTACACACAGTTTGGATATTATTTATTCTTATAGGTTCAAAAAAATGCAAAAAAAACAGCATTTCTAATTAAATGGTAAACGGTGTTGCCTACGGTTATTATTTTTTCGTTAAAACGACTAATATGTTCTACTATTTATTGTAAAAAGAATCTGACTTACATCTGTTACTTACGGACACTAATTTTTGTTTTTTTTAAGAACAAATTTCATGACTTATAAGATGAGGAAGTTGTGCAATCATGAAAAGAGAGCACTCACATTGTTGGTACCTCTGAATATGACACTTTTATTTTGAAGTAAACAAAATCACAATAGCAGAAAAACGTAATTATAATATTTCATCATAATGTCAACTATAGTAGACTGTACGAACTAGAAAATTTCCAAGAGATAATCTATGAGAGACTTAAATTACTATGCTGTGAAGATTCTCATTTATAGTTTATAACGTAACAAAAAGTTGATTAATTTCAAGTACTTGGCATATTAAACGATACGTTGAAAAAAAGTGTTCTTCAAGTTTTTAGAGAGCTTGAAATATAAAGGAAAGTGAGTTGTTCATCTGTCACGATTTTTAATTTTTCTTCAATAAATACTTACACTTCATGGACAAACGAAGAACTCAATGCGAATTTTTTAAAAACTCAAGTTCTTGTTTTGAGCTCTTCAGAAATTTTAAAATCAGTTCCTTATATGGAATAAATAAAAAAATTATTTTTTTTGTTAGATTATACACGCCTTTCACAAGAACAGTTGTATGATCTTCGATAATAATCACAGTTTATAGCTGTATGCATGAAAAAACAAATTTAACGAGTATATCATAATGAATGATACCTTCCGTATTTTCTATTTTTCTCTTGTTTCTTCAAATTTCTAGAGTTAATGTCTATTATTAAAAGATGCGTCGTGAAATTCTTTATTTAGAACACGTAAGAAATTTTGCTTTATGATCAACATAAAACACCTACACGAAAAACTTCGAAAGACGCCGAAACAACCAACTTTATAAACTTGTCTCTAATTAAATACAAAACTCACAGTCTAACATTAATTAGAAAGTCCTAAAACTTTTTTCTGTAGTACCAAATGTCTTCTTTCTCATAAAAGAATTTTTCTAAAGCTGATGGTGTGGCACATGAATCGATTTTTCGATAATCGATCAAGAAACGACAATTTTTCCTACTTCTTGCTCTACTGCAGGAATTCGAAAATGTATGCACATCTCAGTAATGCGCTTAGCTAGAGTAATCATTTCTGAATAAAACAGAACAAAATCAAACCCAAAAAACCTTCATTTTTGACCGAGTTATAGGAGTTCTATGGAAAGGACAAAAAAATTGACAATTAAGTACAGCAAAATTTCTGACGAAAAAAATGCCTTAAAATTGAAAAATAACTTCAATTCAACGATGAATTTTGACGTCAAAAAATTTAAAGTATAACTAAATGATAATTTTTAAGAGCTACAAGATAGTTAGCTTCGTGCTTCAATTGCAAAAAAACTGAACGAAAGAAATCCGTTTTTAAGTAACAAAGCTGATCGCTTTCAAAGTTTTTTCGTCTAGGTTTTTTATGTTGATCGTAAAGCAAAACTTTTTACATGTTCTAATAGCGAATTTTATGGCGCATCTTTTAGAAAAAAAACCCCATTAACCCTGGGAATCAAAAGGAACAAGAGAAAAATAGAAAATACTTAAGGTATCATTCATTATGGTACATTCGTTATGCTTACATAAAATTTAGATGTTTAATATTTACAAATTAGTAACAATGGATAAAGAAAAATATGTGTACCAACACTCGTAACGTCGATAATTTTTTTAATCTTTTTTCTATTGAGGTTAAACAACACGAGACAAAACTCTATTTTGAGAAATGAATTTTTTTCTATAAACGCAACTTACGATTATCTCTTCCAAAAGTGATTGTTTTCATGATAGATGTGAAAAGTTTTGGAAATGTTTCACATCCATGTGCACATAGGCAATATAATTGATTATTTAGCTGAGAAAGATCGATTCAAGAGAAAAAGTAAAATATCGGTATATTTCAAATGAAAGTTAACGCCCGACAGTGATTAAATTAGAATAAAAATGCACCCAACAAAATCATGTACTTTTCACAAAATGAATGAATAATAAGACAAAAATAGAAAAAAAAAAAAAGAACTATTCATTGGGCGTTCCCAGGAGTTTTCAAATGACTCTTTACAACGGAAAAATGCAATCGTTTTCTTTCTGTTTTTCTTTTATTACTTACTAATCACTGTAGGATGATGCGGCGGCTATTTGAATCGTCACTGGTGTGCCCATCTTTAACTATCAGGCAATAAAGCGGCATTTAAAAAGAATAAAGGATGTATATTATTTTTATTTTATTAATATTGTTTTATATGAACGATTCATTTGTTATATATATATATATATAAAAGAGAGAAATGAAAAAATAAAGACTTGTATGCATGAGTGTGTATGTTGAACTAGATCTTTTGTTAATTTTTTATTATAGATGGTGGAAAATGCTCGTAAATTTAAAAGATATCCATCAAACAACGAGAGCAAGGATGTTGAGTGTCTTGTAAACGAAGAACGGAAAAGAGAAGAAAAAAAACCTATTTCTCCGATATTTTACTACTATCCAAAACGATTATTTCAACTTGTCAATATATATCTTTCTACTATATATATATACTGTGAAGAAGAATAGAATACAACCTATTCTTATTGCTCGCGCTATGACGAGTATAAAAAAATAATAATAAATAAAATAAAATCAAAAAAAAACTCGCAGTTTTCTCTTGTCTCTATTACACATCGTTAATTGTTGAATGTAACTTTTCTTTTCTCGCTTCTCTTTTAACCATAAGAATAACTGTAAAAAAAAAAGAAGAAAATATATAACTTATATATAGACTATATATAATGTAATAGATTAGTTCTACAAACTCTTGAATGAGAGAGAAAGATTTAAAACTTTATTTGTTAGACTAAAAATCAGATTCTGAATATCTCTTTTCTTTTTTTTTTCTTTTTTTTTTTCTGTTTCGAAACTCTATTCATTGTGTTAAAGCATCTTTGTTTATTGAACATACACACACACTTCAATTTCTAAAACTGATTATAATGAGCCCCATCTTCTTCTCTGGTTTTTTTTTTTTTTTTTTTTTCGCTATTTTTTTCGTGATAATACTCATTTTGTTCATCATTGTGTGACTAAATAATATTTATAGAAGAAGAAAAAAAAAACTTTCTTCCCGGAAGCCAGTGTTCTATATCTATCATTGAAAATAAACAATCGAAAAAGGTTAGCGATCCATCTATTATTAGATGGGGGAACGAATGAGACATATACCATACCATTCGGAAATTGTCAATTTTTATTGAAGATAATCAATATTGATATAATATGTACTAATAAATTTTGATGTTGATTGAGAGTGAATCAAAAATGACCACTTGATCAAACTAATATAACAAAATATATATTCTCTATTCTCTCTTTATGATAATACTGATTAATAATATATAATTAAAAATAACTAATAACTAAATAAACAAACAAAATTTCGTTTTCTAATATTGTAACTATATAAAGTAAAATAATATTTTTATTTTATTATGATAAATTTTAATCTGTGTTAACAAATACATCATATATCTAAAGGTAGATAAGAAATAAATATAACATAAAAATTTTTAATCTCATAGAAACATTTTTTTAGTTAAAAAATGATACATTTCTTGATTATCAATTATATATCATATTATGATATATGAAAAATATAGGCCAATAAAAATAATTGTGATATTCTAGGGTATAATAACAAATGAAATTGTTCGTTCACTAGCAAATACGTATGAATCCATTATTACACGAATATCTAATTTTTTATTATAGACCCAACATTGATTCGGACATGTAAAAATAACATCAGTTATACATGCCAATACCATCTGTCTTATTTCATTGTAAACATACTGTTGATGTTTTCTACATTTTAAATTTTTCGTTTTTAAAAATGGAAATTGTGTATCATCTGAAATTGTAACATTTACTTTATTAATGATATTATTCACCTTTTCATTCAATATGATAATATCACTTTCAGAATTAAAATGAAATGTTATTTCAAATACTAATTTTAGATTTGTATTGTTTGTTATCTCTGTTACTGTTAATGGATTAAATTGATATTGTTCAATTCTACCCGTTTCATGATATTTGTACCATTCTACCGAATTTGTAATTGAAACGATAATAATTGATAATGCATTCGATTCTGTGCTAGTAGTATATAAATATGTACCAGCTATGTTGTGATATGCTCTTACAACATCAATTGTACCATGACATAAGTCATAAATGATTGGATATCGAGGATTTTGTTCGTTCTTATAAACAAATGATTGTACAACACCGTATATCGTTTGTTTAAATAAATTTCGACGATTAACAATAATTGGACCACCTTGTAATGGAATTTCAAATTGTTCTCCGAATTGAAATATCTCAACAAATGTTTGACGTATAACTGGGAATGATTCTAGCCAGAGTACAGCTTGACCGGGAGTTAAATTGGTTAAATCAGTCGAATTAATTGTATAAACGTGAAAATAGATGATAAAAAATAAGATTAATTTCATGATAAGGAGAAGGAGGGAAGGGAATAAATAATAAAAAGTATTTGAAATATACTGAAGTGTATATGTTTGATTTTAGCAATTCTATTGACACATAATCCTTTCGTCAATAAATATTACTAATAAAGATATCTTATTTCATTGATCACATACTAAATTACATTCAAAAATTATTTCTTCCATTATAGTCATGCGAATTTCTAGTTAACTAATTCGGTTTCATTTGAATGTATTGAGAATATGAGACGATCAGCATGGAAAATTAGTAATTTTGAATTATCCAATAAATTTATTTTTAAACAAATTTTTCTTCATTTTTCTACATGAAGAATAAAATGAATAATATTTGATTACATGTTTTATTATTAGCAGTTATTTAACTTAAAACATCTTTATCTTCTCTTTTAGTTAGTTTAAACAAGTCGAGTTTAAAATATCCAAATCATTTTCTTTTTTTTTATCCGTATTAAATTCGCATGTCTCATAGAGAAATTGTGACAATCAATTTGTCTTTATCTAGTTATAGGACGACAATTAGTCAGTGGATGAGCGACTGAAGATCGAATGGTAGTAAAGGTCAGTGTAAGTTTTTCAAGTCTTGAGCTTTTTTCTGTAACGAAAAACCGGTTGTAAAACAAGATTTATTTTAGTGCAAACAAGTTGAGTTTAAAATATCAAAATTTATCTTCTCTACTTACGAGAGAACACCCTCAGATTCTTCTATGATCTCGGTGAATGAATTTTGTTATAGGTAGTTTTATTCAGTTTTTGATACGCGTCTAAACGCCTAAAGAAGTTAGAATTAGGACTCTAAACTAACAAAACTATTTAAGATTCATTTTAAGTAGAGTACACATGATGATAAAATTTTCAACAGCACCTAAACCGTTCTTAGCCAGGGTCAAAAATTGAACAAAATTTCGTATAATTGAATTCATTGATTGAAAACTCAGTGGCCATTTTTCAATAGGTAGATGGGCATCAAGGTTTATATCATCGGAAAGGATTATTTTTGACTTTTTCCATATCTCTAAATAGAATTTTCATAACACAACAGTTCAGTCTGAGAACTTTTTTTTTAAATTAAATAAAAGGTACCTGAAGTACTGAGGTAAAACTTTTTGACAGGGTTCATTCCGAATATCCTCTTAGTTTTTATTAAAAAATATTTTTGGATTCAAAAGATTAGATCATACATTAAAACGATGATTTTTCTAGAAATCCTGTACCAGAGTCCGGAAAAGGTTTCACTATTTTCTGCTAATACAATAGAAGCACATAGGTGAACATATTCTCAAACATCTGAGCAAAATTGAATGTAAGTTAAAGTGAGTATACTCCTTTTACTGGAAGCGTTTCTCAGAAAAATTAGTTTGATTCGAAAATACTTTTATTTTTCCTCGAGGTTAAGTTCAAAACAAAAGCTTTTTCCTACAGGATATGGTTCAATGTGCCGAGATTCACTCTCTGTATCATTTTAATATTTAAAATAACAATTTTCGGATGTATAGCCTTGCACTTTCAGGCCAATTTTTAGTTAAATGCTTTCACACGGACGCATTTCAGTTGTAAGAAAATTTTTTATGTCAATTAATTGCTGATCTATCGAAGTATATGTTCCATCAATTAAATCAGCAAAAACGTTTGCTAAAAGTTGGCTAAATGTCTGCTTGAATGTCCACTGTATAGGGATGCGCCCTATTCGTTTTTGATTGGAGAAGTTCATGTTGATAAATATGTGTGGTAAATTTTTATAAAAATTGTTAAAAATTTCTGTAAAGAAATCGGAATTATCAAAAATTTATTAAATAAATTCACAGAATAAAACGAAATAAAAACTGGTCATGAGAAAAGAAGTGGAATCAACATATTTCCTACAGTTTTGTCATCATCTCTGCTATTGTCAACTGTACAATAACTAACTATAGTAGAGTTGACACATTCATTCATAGTCATTGAAATTCTTTTTTTCAACATATTTATGACTCAAATGAGTCAAAAACAGAAGACATGAACCAAAAAATAAAAACATGAAAAATTATTTCATTTTTTTTTCTTTTTGTTCTGTTTTTCCGTTTATAGTTATATTCTTCTTTGTACTCTTATCTTAAATTCAAATAATAGTGTATATGCATATTCTATATTGTTTGCATAAGAGAAAAATTTTAAAATGTAAAATAGTGACGAATATTTTTTTGTATTTTATTTAACATTAAATTTGTTATACAATATGGGCGCTAATCAAACATCTGAAACTGAGAATAATAATAATCATTTAACAGAAAATGATATTCATTATTTATTAAGTAATACTTATTTTAATCGTCAACAAATTGAAAATTGGTATAAAATATTTCATGAAAAATATTCGAATGGTAAAATGAACAAAGAACAATTTATCACGTTTTATATGAATGAATTACGACATATATGGAATGGACGTTTATTAGCAGAAAAAATATTTTATTTACTTGATATTAATCAAGATAATCATATTAGTTTTAAAGAATTATTATTATATTATTCAGTTAAATCAAAGGGAAATGAACGAGAAAAATTACAATTTTCATTTTTACTCTATTCTAATCATGATGGATACATTGAATATGAACAGTTTATATTTCTCATAGAATTATTAACAAAAATAAATAAGAAATATGATGAATATTCTATACGTCATTATGCATCCGATTTATTTCATCAATATGATAATAATTCAGATAGAAAAATAACATGTGACGAATTTATTTCATTGATACTTCATAATAGGGAAATGGCTCAATTATTTACACCCATGTTCAAATTTAATATTATAAATCAAGTAGGAATTTTTTTTTGTTAAAAAATGAACATTATATTTATCTAATAAAAAATGATCTGATTATTATTTAGAATGTTACAGAATCATCAAATCCTATTACATCCATTTCTCCATTATCTATTGAAGTATTGAATGTTTTACAAATAATAACAAATTTAACACGTGAACAAATAATTAAATTTTATGGTGATTTTCAAAAAAAATGTCCAACTGGTCATTTAAATCAACAAGATTTTATTTATTTTTATAGAAAATTATTACCTAAATCATTATTATTAGATGATGATAATGATTCAACAAAATATTGTCAACTTGTTTTCAAAGCATTCGATATTAATTTAGATGGACAAATTGATTTTAAAGAATTTATTACCGCATTTTCAATAAGATCTAATGGAACACCGAGAGATAAACTCAATTGGTTATTTTATGCTTATGATCGTAAGTAATTTTTATCTTTCGTTCAATTATTATTTAAATATTTTATTTTTTAATTAATTATTTTTGAAGGTAATAATGATAATTTTATATCGTTTACTGAATTAAAATATATTATTAGTGCTATCTATAATTTATATGGTTTAAATAAAGAAGGAAAAAATTTCGAATATAAATCGTATGAATTAATGGCACTAATGGATATTAATAATGATGACAAAATATCCAAACAAGAATTTATACATGCTTGTATCACTGATGGTGATATTAGAAAATTATTGGTACCAATGTTTCCATCAAGATAAATAGTATAGCACTTTATTCTCTACTAGAAATTTATTAAAGAACAAATTGTTCTAGTCTTATAATCATGAACAGTGTACCGTTGGCTCAAATATGAATCTATATGAGTAGAGACATCCATGATAATATCTATGTGTCAACAATCATCGTTCAAAAATGATAATCATTGTACAGTACTATGTTATATATTTCATTTTTTTTTTTTTTGTTAATATTTTATCATATTATAGATTTCAATTAAAGCGACATTCTGACAATTCCATCTTATGAAAAATTTGTATTCTTTTATTTTTTTGGTTTGTAAAATTCTTCTAGAAATCTTATAATTACCATATAAAAATCGTGATATAACAGAAACTCTAAAAGAAAACAACAACTGTGTTTATAAGAGTCTTAGAGAAGAAAATGATAAGATTTCAATTAAAAATATTTTTATTAAAAAAATTAGGTACAAAAGAAACTTTTCTCTTCTTAAGAGAATTAAGATAAAGTATAAACTATTTTTATGATGCTTCTCTAGCAAATAGATCCTACTAAATCTTATCAAAATTTTACTTGTTTTATCTTATATTGATTCCTGTAAAAATCTTATTAACAGTTACTTTTTAAAACCTCATTTTTTTCTTAAGGTTTCTATAGGGCTGATTTTGGTAATTTATGCCATTGTTTCCTGTTTCTTAACTTCATGAAAAATCTTCATCAAACTAAAATGCGTATTCGAGCTAAAAAATGTTAAATCCATCAAAGTAAAATGTATTCATTTATTTTAAATGCGTATTTTCATGCAATTATCCGCACTAGAGATGGGCAGGCATCAAACTCATAACGTGATTAGAAAAATCCTTTATAACTTAGCCATTTCAAAAGCTAATATTTTTCTGAATCATACATTTCAACGAAGTCACTTGTAGTTTCAATTTAAAACATTCTGCAACTTTGAACAACGATCTGTCTCGGAAAAAAAGCATAGGGGACCAAAAAATTAACTGAGACTAATCTGATCTCGTGTCATTTTTTTTCCAAGGCGGATGGTTGTTCAATGCTGTGAAACGTTTTCAATCGAAGCTACGAGTGATTTCTTTGAAATGTATGATTCAGAAAAATTTGAACTTTCGAAATGGCCGAGTTATAGAGGACTTATAAAGTCTCGCGCCCATCTCCAATCAACACCTACTCAATAGTCCATATAGACTATGATGATCTGATAATCATCGTGTGTGATAAATCAGAGAATAAACGTTCGCTTATAAGTTGGTTGCAGTTGAATCATAATGTCTTGAATCACATTTTACTTTCTTAATGCATTTATTAGTTAGTCAATCGTAATTGACTATCATTTTGACTTTTTTCCAAAACTTTTGTGAGTTTCTATTCTTATTTTAAAAACTTCAATATACCGGAAAAAGAACTTACCGCTTAGCAATGCAAAAAATTTTGAAGAAAAGTAATTTAGAGCGTAAACAGAAAAATGAGCAATAACTATGACGATAATTAGGTAATAGAGCGGTTAAAAAACTCATGTTTCAGTCGTACAAAAATGAAGCCATGGAAGACCTCATTTGAAGAATAGATAAAAAGTGACGTCAAAGTCCATGATCCTTACTTTCAACACTAGTTAGTAATACGATGAATCATGTATGACACAGCACAAATTAATAGTTCTATACAGTGTTTATAATAGAATGGTGGACAATCGACTGCTATACACTATCCATGAAAAACTAAAATCCACTATAATTTACACTGTAACTTTAAATGTGATCACTGTGACATCGGTTTTATAGTGAAAAAACTAAATACGTAATAGCGTTAACTGGTGCGATCAACATTTGTCTAATTGACAAAAAGTTCTCTGAATGTTTAGAAATACTGAATGTCTCAAATCTATTCATATCAACTTCCAGTATATATTCGAATGAGAGAAATGTTCTTAACTAGAACAACATTTTCATATAAAAAAAACCAAACAGTATATAGAAGATGTGTATCTATGTTGAACTAACATATATCATCGTGGGCCGGTATGATCTTTCACAACACGTTTAACGTCGATATGTATGTTTTCCGCTATACTCGACGCTCTTGCGGATGGATCGTCTTTGAAGTATCGATGGTGTAGATTATAATTTATTGGTCTTATAATTTTATTCACTTGTAAAATAAACTATTAATGTGAAAAAAACATGTGTATCAAGTTCGTCTTGCTTATTCAATATACTGAACAACAGATAAACTCTTTTACGATAAATAAACAGTCAAACTGTGTAGAATGGCGCAACTTAGGAAATACAGTGAAAAATCAAGGGGTTTCAGAAAACCTATAATTTCGGTTTAAAGCATTTATGTATCTTTATGCTAACAGGAGAAGTGTATGATACCGAGATGTATAATCTCTGAAAGTTTGAGGACTGTTGAGTGATGGCTAAATATGGGTGCAGACACCTTACTGAGCACGTTTCTTGGGAAAACGCTTAGCATAGATTAAAGATGAGGTATTATCGACAAAATACACTTGAAATAAAACAAAAATTTATCAATCGATAGAGCTTGATTTGCTCTTTGAGAATATGTATAATTTATTCGGTTAATCTTTTTCCTTTCTTTGGTGCAATGTATTTTTCCCAGAGGTCGCTGAAAAATAGCCGTTTTTTTGAAAACGGATTTTCTAGCAAACGTTAAGGGTTAGAACAAAAATTATTTCACCGTTAAATCGGCCCTTAGTCAAAGTATATGTGGCACTATTCAAACCACGAAAAATCTCGCTTTCGTTTTTTCATCTAATGTCCACGTGGTTGCCCACTGTATACAGATCATAAATTCAACAGTTACACAAGCATTATTTCAGATTGATTTTATTGATTTAAATATGATATATTTGTTTCAGATCAATTATTTTCTGTTTTTAATCTCAATTAGTTTGTGAAGCAAAACTATAATTGTATAGTTACTTTTTTCCCGTGATTCACTCGCTACAAGAAATTTTTTTCATATAAAACATACGATTAGATTAAGAAATAATATTATATTTTTATTTGAGCTATAATACATTTGATTATTATTAGCTTTTTTTACTTTTACATATTTGTTGAGTCAATATGCAATATTATTGAAGAAAATAATATACAACTACAAATTTTATAATGGTACACGAAAGTCAATAAAAAATTAAAGGTAAAGAATATTTTTTCTCATTAAGCTCTTTGCATATTTATTATAAGTTCAAGTTTGAGATTTAATGTTTGAATAGAACCATAAAATCGATCAATTAAATATTGACTTATTGTCCATCTAATTTGAAAATATGCAAGCTGGTGGTACATCGTGCATATTCGGATAGAAATATGTATACTCCTTTGACGTATTATACCTCAATGGTAGATAATTTATCGATCCACCCTATAACAGAAACACCGATAAATATTGTTCAAAATTATCATCAATAAATTATCTCAAATATGGAGATCATTTTTAAAAGACATCCAAATGAAGAGAGATCGGTTAAAAACTGAACGGAATCGAGGGCGGTTTAATAATTAGATGAAAGAAGTTGGTATCAAGCTAACCTTAATTCTTTTGGAGATACAAAAAATTATTGCATGCTAATGGACAGAAAAGTCTTAATAGTTTTAAATCCATTGTATTCACTTGCTTATTTGATACATCTCATATTATTTAATGCATTTTCATTTGCATTAAAAGACAAAAATAATCCCATGAGCAACAAGAGTAACTGGTATAATGATTATCTTGCTCAGTGTAGGATGTGCGATAATTTCTCGACAGTATATAATCGTTGGAGATGGTTATTTACCTCTTTTCTAGTTCATTGGACTACAGCTCCAGACAAAAGGTTAACCTGAGACAGAGTTCTTTCGCCTAATTATTTAAACTCGCCATACACAGTTATTATTCTAAGCTTATCAGTTTTCTGGTAAGTTCGTGGGACTATGTTCTACGTCATAATATAGTAAGTATCCTGTCTGAACCTCCGTAGAGCTTGTTGAACTTTCGTCCGATTGTGATGGAATGGAGTTGATAGAAGGCGGTTTTTTGCTGAGCACCACGTCCTTGATTTATAATAAAAAAGATAAAATAATTTCTATTTAACACTACATGTTTAAGGAAAAATGTGCTATTTACACATACTTTGTCGTATACGTTTTCCGGTGTATTGTTTGGAATAAGTGATTCAGTCTAACATTAAATAACGGGTGGCGCAGAATAAATTAGACTGTCAGTGTTTTTGAAATTCCTTCTCTTCCTCAAAGTCGATCGAGATCATTCTTATATCAAAAGATTCGCCTTTCAATTCTCTACGAAATGGTATATA